CGCTTGGTGTGTGTGTGTGCGTGTGTGCTTTTCTATCCACACAAACCAAGATTCACTCCATCTTGCGCTGACACACATGCAAATAAATATTTATTACTATGGTTTTATATATATGTATTAATCTTTATATATATCCTCGATATCGCAAATATGTTTGCGTTGAACACAACAATCATTTATTTATATCTAAATATTTTAGAATTGAATTTTATATTTCTATTTTTTTTTTAATTAAAAGACAAATAGTCAAGTACATGCACATTGATAGTAAACGACATTTGAGAGCACGTACCAAGCAATGCTTTACTTTGCTAGTAACAAAATAAAACCATATTCGGTGCTAATGTTTATATTCCAATCACTTCAAAATTCGTCTTTTTTCCTAACGCACTACAGAAGGTACGTTAGGTCAACCAAAGGCTTGCATTTTAAGATTGTATATAGACTTGGTGCCGTGGGTGACGGCACTAAGTAAAACACACCTGTTTATGTTCCGATTATAAGCTTAAGACTTTACTCGGTAGGATATATGTAATGAGATTTTTTATACCTTGCAACACTTGTTGCATAGGTTATGTTAACACTCGAAGGACTTGAGATAAACCCACCTTTCTACCCAGAATCATGTCCTGAATCGATCTGTGGTATAGGTTATATTAACACACGAACGACTTGAGATAAACCTACCTTTCACTATACCTATCTACTCAGAATCATATTCTGAATCGATTTAAGCTTGTCTGTCCGTCCGTCCGTTTGATGTCTGTCCAAGTATTTATGTGAACAAACTACAGGTACTTGGATGAAATTTGGTGCACTGACGTGTTTTGACCTTAGAACGAACATTCCCCACGCAGAAAAATTCCAAATTTCAAAATTTCCCGACAAAACTCTCTGTGTAGTAGTATTTTGCCATTCAAAACTGATATCAAAAATTTAGTCCAATTGGGAAAATTCTTTCAACTCCCTTTCATATACCCATTTCTACGAAAACTCAGTCTTCTCAAGGTAAAGAGGTCTAATCTTCAATATTTCATGGTGAAAATCGGGGAAATTCTTTCAACTCCCTTTCATATACCCATTTCTACGAAAACTCAGTCTTCTCAAGGTAAAGAGGTCTAATCTTCAATATTTCATGGTGAAAATCGGCTCGTATTAATAGATTGGTAAAGAAATCAATCAGGAAATATAAACCCTTTTATGCCAAATACGGTCTAATTGTTAATGTTTTATAATGGAAACTTGAACCCCAGTCCATATAAGTTTTCTCATGAACAGTAAACCACTCAGAGAAAGTTTAAATTTTTAATATTTTTTGATAAAAACTGGTCCATAGTAACAATTTACAAAAAAAATTAACGGCAGAGAATTTGGATCACATAGGTCCTTTTTTAGACTCAAACATATATAGGGATTAATATAAAAAGCAAACCTTTATATGGACAAAAAGCTTTAATTTCTACTTTTTTAGGAAACTGAAAAATAATATAATTTTTTGGAAAGCAAGATAAGTGTGGTCAAGTTGCGATGTTTCGTACAACCTTCAATATGCGGGCTTGCATGAATAGTAAGTATGAGAACAATATGTGATTTTTGAAGCATTGTTACAAAAACTGCACTAGACGAAGTGATGTAGGGCATCTAACGGTCGGCCTTACCCGATTATAATATTCCTACTTGTTTACATTCATTATCTGAGAAGGGAAGTGTACTAGATTTGCTCTCACAAATTGTAACTGAAAGCTGGAATTTGGATTGTTCGAAAACGCGTCCGATCTGTATACACTTATGCAAAAAACTGTAATATCGAACTCATAAAACTTGCTGATGCAATATTTTATTCAAATCTTGTGCAAATGCTTTGTTGAAAGTTAACAAAAAAAAAAAAGAATGAGAAAATTTATAGACACCCCTACAATTTCTGCTGCTTTGAAACGATGGTATCGAAAATTCTTCCCAAGTCAATGTCGGTAATCCTTTTACCAATTTCTTCTTATTTAAGATATTGGTTAAACTTTTGTACATTACAATTTCCAGATCAAGCTATGAAAGCCCAGAGAAGGTGTATTCAACTTGAACTGAAGCTAGAGGTGGAATACCGAAAAGCGAGAGCAGCGTATATATCGGAAGAATATTTGAATTAAGTAACCCGGCTTTCCATTGTGTTTACCATTTGGAACTTTTTAACCCGAAAATAGGAATATGACATTATTAAGCAACTCTCCCGAAATAATCAGTTAGTCAAATAGCTATATTCACTTCCTTTAAACCTTTACACAAGACCTTACAAGTGTGCGTAAGAAGAAAAGCGGGCAACGTTTGTGCTTGTTGTCTGATGAGCCTAAGAGGAACAAGAAGACTTGACGATGTCGCCAATCAATTTTGGACGTGAACGGTGCCGAATAGACAGGCTCTAAAATAAAGATAGGATCTTTCTAGACGCAACACACTAACGTTCTTTTAAAGAGGACAAGCTTTTAGTGTTTTCATAAAAATATTAGGGAAAATAAGACAATCTCTTGATATACAAGCACTTGTCAATATAGAAAGAAAATTCGTTCGTTTCACCTCATCGATAATTCTGTGCGATTCAACGTATGAGGCTGACTTTAGCTTTAGCGAACTTGAAACACATGAAACATTATTAATTTTTATGCCCATCAACGAAGAATTGAAATGCACGAGTTTTCTCTTTCTATATCTGAATACCCAGAAATAAGCGTCATTATATATATACCGTTAAAAGACGTTGCGGACCTGAATTAATTTAACAATATTTATGTGCCTATCTATCTGTCTATACGTTTGTATCTGATCTCCTGTTAAAAAGGTTGCAATCAAAAAAAAATTGAAATACGTACGCAGATGACATGTGACATGTGGACTACTGGCTGGTGACCAAAGGTCGAATGTAAGAAAGAGCAAAATCTGCCCAAATTTGTAGCTTCCATTTCAATGCAGGTATTGGTTTGAAATTGGATAAGCACACTTGCAAAGATGAGCTACTTAGAAACCTGTTCATTAAAGAACAAGAGCTAGCTTATGGCGTCTTGAAAATTGGAACAATCGTTCCACTATCATGTTCTTAGACGAGGTTTCAAAACTGATCCATGAAAATGAACCAAATTTCTTCCTACGTTTTAATGAGCTTGCAAGTTCTAGAAAATGGAACGGTAAAGGTGGGAATACATTTCATCTTTATGGTCTTAAAGAGCCTCTGACTCGTAATGACAGCCGCAGAATATCGTTATCGCTCTGTGCATGTAAGGTATTGGCATTATGCGCATTATATATAATCCTGAGCGATATCTAGCACATCAGCTGCTTCTTTGAAGAATGTTCCTATAGCAGTGTATGCGAAAGTATATCTAATGATATTTTAATATATTAATCTTTTTCGCCACCAGTCAAGGTACATTTATCGCATATCATTTTTGATGCCTTTTTTACAAACATATTTTTTATAGGAAAGAATTAAAGTTACATAAGCAAATTTTAAAGTGTATCGAATTCGATTAATTTTGAGCAATTCTGAAGAGCAAAAAATTGAAAAAAAAGAATAAACAAAACTCAAATAAATTATCCGAAAAAGTCACTTTTATATATATATACGCACACATCTACTCTATCACATCTCATACTACGAAATTCACTTGACGCTTTATCATAGAATATAAAAAAAGAATATTAATTTAAACTTGAGAAAGATCACTTCCCGCAAAGTGACGAATCTTTGCCGCTACAAGGAAGAAATGCGTCCATCCAAATATGCAAGGTTGCAGCCCTCGAAAATACAAAGTACATCGCGTACATTGCGAACAATTAGAAAGAAAACAAAACCAAAGTCATCCACACCAATGGGAACAGATTCTCTTACAATATTTAGCGAAATTGCAACAAAAGAATTTAGCTGCCCTGATCGAGCAAAGTTGGTGACACGGTACCTAACATAGTGAAACCGTGTAGTTTGCAACAAAAAGCATGGATCCTGTTGGTTCTGCTAAATTGACTGAAAAAATAGACATTGATGAACCACAAGAAATCGCATCCGATAGCTATATATAACAAGTCCAGAAATAACACAACCTTCATTGGAAAAATATTGAAAGTGACATAATATTAAACGCTAATTAATATCTGAAAAATATTAAAAATGGAATGTTAAAAGTGAAATAACGTTAAACCAAAATATGAGAAGTGGGGTATAAAAAGTGAAATAATATTATGACAAAATGTTAAAAGTGAAAAACTATCAAACTGTATATTGAAAGTGGAAAGTCAAAAGCATTGAAAATGAAACTAACTAAACTTTGATATAAATTCATTAAGGATTTCATAGAAACCCAAGTCTTGATTGTAAGAGGATTTGCCAGATTAATCAAATAATCCGTTCTCTTTAATTAAGATTACATGGCGGACGCCATAACGCCAAAAGATATATAACTATATATATGTGAAATATACATTTACAAATAAGCTAAACACCAACTTTATTAAAATTCAAACGAAGATCTTCGTGTTCCCAATAAATCTTTTTTACTAACCTCAGTAAATTATCTATTGTTGGTTTACTGACAGGAAGAAGAAGAAGATATAAAGGTTAGAATTCTCCAAAAACCTATTTTTCCTTACTCAGTGTCTGTTGAGAACTCCTGAATAGTAAAAATTTCATTTCTAACATTTGTCGCTCTTTATATCATTAGCAGTGATATTCTTTAAGTTACTATTTAGTTAAGCATATATGTACGGCTAAAGAGCTGTGTGATGGTTTTTTTCACTTGAAACATTATCCTGACTTTCTTTGGAAATGGAGCAATGTATATATATTGCACAAAAACCATGTGTTTGTAAGCTAGTTACACTCGTTGGCAGCTCTTTTTCCATTTGAAAGAATGCTGCCCATTTTATTATAGATTCATATGTAGTCTTAATCGTAATCTTGGCAACTCTATTGCGAATTGTCAAAAATTGTTGCAAATTCATCGTTTAGTAGTTGTCAACACTGCAGCGAGTCAGCTTTAGTAAAGAGGATAAGAAAGTGAATTAAGTTTGTGTTGAATTATAGAAAATCTGTCAAAAAAAGTTCTTTAATATTTCATAAAACGCTTGTAGTAAACGCTGTGACGTGTAAATTATTTAATATTAGTTTTTTTTATTAAGTGAATAAAGTTCTATACCTACTAATAATAAAACAATGGCCGACTCAAAAAGGTGAGTGTGTGTAACCGTGCAAAGAAGTAAAGCCGACAGAAAAATTACCCCAACCAAAAAATACACAAAAGAGTAGGGTTTCAATTTTCTGCGTTGTCATGTTGTTAGAAACAAGTAAAATCTTATATAAAATTGCTTAGATACGATTAACAGAAGATATGATATTAATATTTGAAAGCTACCTTAAGTTCTTGATATGTTTTTGGAAATACAACACGTTTCATTTGAGGGAAAATTGAAAAGTTTCGATAGCAGAATTGATTACTGGTTTTAAAAATGTTGATTTTCTTTTCTAATCATATAGAATGATGCATAGATCAAATATGTTTTGAGTTAACTTTCAAACTTGTAGTCATGTCAAGATTTATGTGCGAGTTCTCTGTTAAAACAATGAAAAAATTGCTATCAACGTAAGAAATTATTAAAAAAAAAACAATTACTAAATATATATTGAAAAAGAGTGGTAATAGAGAAGAAGAAGAATTAACCAGCCATCTGCACACGCTTATACGGCAGTTGTTAGTGTGTATGTATATATAGGTACATGTATATATATATACATCAAAATTTTGCTGTGTTTGAATAGACACGAAATAGAAAGAACAGCAAGAAAGGACAGCTTAGCACTATTGAGCATAGTTTGAGAAATGGCGACTGGTGGCAGTGATAGACGTAATAGTAACGGCGGCAACAATCCTCGTCGGCGTAGTTCTTTTCCACGTTGGAACGCGGATTCCAATCAAGAATCCGATATGGACGTTTATGAAGACGATACCATAGACGAAGATCATGATGTGCAAAATTATGTACACAAATATCGGCAGGATCAAGATTTAAAGCGATCTCAAGGTGTATTGCATTTATCAAAACCTAACGAAGGCAACCGTGGCAAAGCATCGGGTTCAAGTATTAGCAAAGATCCTGCGCCCATGGAAAAACGGTTGGCATTTTTTTTTTTTTTTTTAATTTGATTTAAGTTTTTTTTTTTTTTCGTAACTGGCTTGATGAAAATTTGTTAATGCTTTGAATTCATTACAGTGAAGATTTGGCTACTGCCATTCTCAAGCGCAAAGATCGCCCAAATCGTTTAATTGTTGATGAAGCAACCAATGATGACAACTCCGTGGTCTCATTGTCGCAGGTGAGATAAGTGTTTTGAAAACCGATAAACTAAATGTATATCCGAGCAATTTATTTTTGATTTTATTTTTCAATTAAGGCGAAAATGGATGAGTTGCAGTTATTTCGAGGCGATACAGTCATCTTGAAGGGGAAACGTCGTAAAGAAACTGTGTGTATCGTTTTATCGGATGACACTTGTCCCGATGAAAAGATACGCATGAATCGTGTGGTGCGTAATAATTTGTGTGTTCATTTATCTGATGTCGTCTCAATTCATCCCTGTCCGGATGTTAAGTATGGCAAACGTGTACGTATTTTGCCTATTGATGATACTACCGAAGGTGTCACCGGTAATCTGTTCGAAATTTATCTGAAACCTTACTTCCTGGAGGCGTATAGGCCCATTCATATGGGTGATAATTTTATTGTACGCGCTGCTATGCGCCCGATTGAATTTAAAGTTGTACTCACCGATCCAGAGCCTTATTGTATTGTGGCCCCCGAAACCGTGATTTTCTGTGATGGTGATCCCATTAAACGTGAAGTAAGTAATATGCAAATGGTTGCAATCAGTTAGCCGCATTTGTTATACATGTGCCATTTAATATGAGATGTGATTTGACTTTGGAAAAAGGATGCAAACTTTCCGAAAAAATATTTATTACTTTAATTTTCTTTTCTTTCCCGCTGCGCAGGAAGAGGAGGAATCGTTGAACGCCGTAGGCTATGATGACATTGGTGGCTGTCGCAAACAGTTGGCTCAAATCAAAGAGATGGTAGAGTTGCCGTTACGACATCCATCTCTATTTAAAGCCATCGGTGTCAAGCCACCACGTGGTATTCTTATGTACGGTCCTCCCGGTACGGGTAAGACTTTAATTGCACGTGCCGTAGCCAACGAAACAGGTGCTTTCTTTTTCCTAATCAACGGGCCTGAAATTATGTCGAAATTGGCCGGTGAATCTGAATCGAATTTACGCAAAGCTTTTGAGGAAGCAGAAAAGAATTCACCAGCTATTATATTCATTGACGAGATTGATGCTATTGCCCCCAAGCGTGATAAAACTCATGGCGAAGTTGAACGTCGAATTGTATCTCAGCTGTTGACACTGATGGACGGCATGAAAAAAAGTTCACATTTGATTGTAATGGCTGCTACTAATCGTCCCAATTCGATCGATCCAGCTTTAAGACGTTTTGGCCGTTTCGATCGAGAAATTGATATCGGTATACCAGACGCAACAGGGCGATTGGAAGTATTGCGTATACATACTAAGAACATGAAATTGGCAGATGACGTAGACTTAGAACAAATTGCCGCCGAAACTCATGGTCATGTAGGAGCCGATTTGGCCTCACTGTGTTCGGAAGCTGCATTGCAGCAAATACGTGAGAAAATGGATCTAATTGATCTGGAGGATGATAAAATTGACGCTGAAGTGTTGGCTTCGCTGGCTGTTACGATGGAGAATTTCCGTTACGCCATGACCAAATCAAGTCCTTCAGCTTTACGTGAGACAGTAGTCGAAGTGCCCAATACTACTTGGGCCGACATTGGTGGCTTAGAAAATGTCAAGAAGGAGTTGCAAGAATTGGTGCAATATCCTGTAGAGCATCCCGATAAATTCCTTAAATTCGGCATGCAACCAAGTCGTGGAGTTTTGTTCTACGGACCGCCAGGTTGCGGTAAGACATTGTTGGCTAAAGCCATTGCCAACGAATGCCAAGCGAACTTTATATCCGTTAAGGGCCCGGAATTACTGACAATGTGGTTCGGCGAGTCTGAAGCCAACGTGAGGGATATTTTTGATAAGGCCCGTTCGGCTGCCCCTTGTGTTCTATTCTTTGATGAATTGGATTCAATTGCTAAAGCGCGTGGCGGTAATGTTGGTGATGCTGGTGGTGCTGCGGATCGAGTGATTAATCAAATATTAACTGAAATGGACGGAATGGGCGCTAAAAAGAATGTTTTCATTATTGGGGCCACTAATAGGCCTGATATCATAGATCCGGCTATTTTACGTCCAGGTCGTTTAGATCAACTCATCTATATACCCCTCCCCGATGATAAGTCACGCGAAGCTATCTTAAAGGCTAATCTACGTAAATCGCCTTTAGCCAAAGATGTAGATCTGGGGTATATAGCCAAAGTTACGCAAGGATTCTCCGGAGCTGATTTGACCGAAATCTGTCAGCGAGCTTGTAAATTAGCCATTCGCCAGGCAATTGAGGCAGAAATACGACGTGAAAAGGAACGTGCCGAAAAGCAAAGTTCCGCAATGGACGTATGTATAAGATGAGGTCATAGTGAATTTATGTTAAGACGGTTTCGTTTTGTTCAATTTAACAGATGGATGAAGACGATCCGGTGCCAGAAATAACACGTGCTCACTTTGAAGAAGCTATGCGATTCGCACGCCGCTCTGTGTCAGACAACGATATACGTAAATATGAGATGTTCGCCCAAACCTTACAACAGTCTCGTGGTTTCGGTCAAAATTTTAGGCAAGTCTTTTACAACTTTTCCCAAGGTTACTCTATATAACGTAATTATACATTCATACAGATTCCCTGGTAGTTCTAACGCTACGCAAGGCTCAGGTCCTAATGTGCCGGTGAATCCACCCGGCGACAACGGAGATGATGATTTATACAGTTAGATTTTTTTTAGTTTTAATTCCTTTCCGATCATTTACTATAATCATACCATGAAAAAAAAAAAAAAAAAAAAAACGAATTAACTAACATAAACCGACAACAACCACTCGTAACATTTCAACAATTCCATCAACAACAAAACGCGAGTAAGATGACAACTAATCATTCTTCGTAAGCGAGAAAGAAAAGAAGACAGTTACTACTCTACTGCTGTGTCACCAAAGTATGCCGTTACTGTCTTTTTCTCTTCTTGGTAATTACTTTACATTATAATTTAAACAGAAAAAAACACATACCGTAAAACAACAACAAAGATCGATCTTTCTAAAATATTCTCTTGCTCTTAATATATATCATATATTGAATATAAATAAAAGCAGTTTTTAGATTGGAAAAAAAAAATATTAAGAATTTAATCATTTTTTGTGAATGTGAAAATTAAAGCGAAGATAATTTTATTTCTTTGCTCTGCTTATACGCTTCTGTTAGGCGACAGTTGAAATTAAAATTATGGTGAACGAAAGGATTTGTATCGCCAGTGCTGCCAAACAGTAAATAAAGATTTCAAAACGGCGACGCCGCTCGTCTCTTGAAAAGAACGTAAACCAGGCAAATAACTGGGAAATCTCATCGACCTTACTCGTTGAGTGGTATACCACTTGTGGTATAGATGGTTTTTCAATATTCTAAATTGGCGTGAACGGCTGGGGCAATTTTTTGAACCCGTCTCATATAACCGATCTTAGGGAAATTGAAGCTTATTTGGTAAAAAGTTTCCAAAATTTCGTGGTGAATTTTACCTCATAATAGTAAATAGATAAAGAAATCTAACTTACCGAATTTGATAAATATATCTTTGGGATATCAACTGCCTATAAGGATTCTTATGAAACGTAAATTATTATATGCCAAAAAAAAGCCTAATTGTTAATGCTTTTGTGATGAAAATTTCTTTATAACTGTAATGAAATAAAAAAACTAAATGAACCTAATTTGAACCGCATGGGTCTATTATGGCATGCTAAATACTAGATCTCCTTATGCGTTAGTGAGAGGGAAATCGAATTGTGTTAGGTTGTCCGTAAAGCCATTTCATTTTTTCCTAATCGTTGATTTAATTGCATTTTTCCAAGACACTTGATATATAAAATATATAAAATTTTATTATATGGTTTAAGAGCTAATGTATTAAGGCGTGTTTCTGAAACGTTTTGCTTGATTCTGTAAAATGGCTTTTGCCTGATTGCCTTATCAGCTATGGAAAGTGTTAACCACCAAAAGCCGACATATTTTAGTTCTTTATTATCGATCAAGTAAAATTATAAATCGAGCAAGAAAAAGAAGAAAAATTATTGAATATGTATGAAGAAGACCAATACCAAAACTGGTTTACAAAATTTCGTCCCAACAATTTTGACATCGATGATATACCATGTTCCAGAAGATGAGAAGCCAAAACAAAGGGACTAAGTAATGCAAACTGTGTGTGTGTGATGTAGCATGTTCTACAATGTCAGTTGAAATGGATGCGAAGACAAAATAAAGGGACTAACTAATGCAAACCGAAGAGCGTCAATTCGAAGGAACGCTGAGAAATTACATTTATCGATCGAATTTGAGCATTTGTCCACCGTAATAAAATCCTCTTTTAATTTGACTGAGAAAAAAAAAGAAAGCGAAACGACTTTCCGAACAACCCAATACCTTGAAAAATGTTAAATTTCCAGATCTCTTAGGCAATTCTGTTTCATGTATTTCGTTTCAAAATCTTGATGCTTACATTCCTCAGGGAATCCTGTATGTTAAGTTTAAAAGGTGGCCCTCAGATGCTTACAAATATCTTCACACAAACCAAGAGATCAAAATATAGGTTTTTAAATGTGCATTCAAAACATGGGTAATTTTGGGAAAAACTTGTGAATTTTCCATAGAATGAAACTTGCTCGGTACAGGTGTACATTATTTTATTTATTCTTTATTTCCATTTCATTTTTAATACAATGTTTTTTTTTGTTCTTTTGTTTTTAATGTTTTACGTCCATGTTTATTTTTTTATTTATTTATTTTTTGTTTCATTATTATTATTATTATTATATGTTATTGTTAATTTGTTTTCTGTTTTACACATACAACACAACAATTATATTTAATTATGGTATTATCGTATTTGTTTATGTACTTAACAGTATCTTTTGGTATGTACTCGTATGTATACTTTGTTTTCCATTTTTTAAGAATTGTTTTTTTCTCTTTTTTTTTTCATAAAATTTTCAGATTTTTTCAAATTATTACAAAGTGAAATTCTGATTTGATGTCTATTTAAATACATTTTTGAAACATTAAAACAAAGAAAAAAAAATTTCTAATACGAATTAAAATTTTTAAAAAGTTCGCATGGCATGAAAAAACGTCACTTTGATAAATATGAAATTCAAATTAAATCAAAGGAAAATCATAATTGAGATTGAATTTGTTCTCTCTGGTTCTGCAGCAGACCAGCATACGACATTGCTTTTCATTTCATGGCAATCCTATAATGATTTTTATTTGTGAAGTATCGACGGCTTATAGAGAAGAATTAAAAAGCCTGTAGATAGATTGGCTGCTAGCCGTTAATGGCAACCTTTTAGATGAGTTTAGTAAATGCTAGAAAGAATTTATTTCGGTATCTGTTGACTCATATGGAAAAGGAAATGTATTAAAGTGTTTTTTCAGTTTCCAACTTTTTTAATTGAGAAGTGATAAGAACTACTGGGGCAGCTAGCAAACAAAATCTATCTCTGAGATACAATTTTAAAGATTTTTTTAAACAATTTGAAGTCAACAAGGCCTTTCAATCAATTGACTACACATGACGAATATATGCGTTGTGAAGGAAGTACAACATTTTGTGTTCGGACGAATACATACATCACGATCAGCCCATACGTCCGGCTCGGGTTTCCTCGTAAAATTTTATTAATGTTCACATTACGCATACTTTGAGCCCGAGGAGCACACCCGTTATTGCTCAATTTTTGCAACACAGTTTGAAAGCGCATTTTCCAAAGAAGACACATTGTATCACTGTAATCAGTCTCGGCAGTTAATAAAGGCCAGCCGTTTTCCGCATAGCTATTTATGCAAAGGCCCTCTTACCTAATCAGTTACATGCCTGAAATAACACATTCAATAATGCAAAAGTTTAAATGTACTGCGCGTTTTCCTAAAGCTCACGCAAAACCGCGCGAAATAATGATTTCACTTCACCAACCATGAAGAAATTAATTAAAAGTATTTAGGGAGACAGGGCATTAGGGCCGCTCTTCAATGAAAAACACCTAAGCCGTTCAGCAACTCGGCACCGTAGTCAAGAATTGGATGCATGGAAAAGCTCCCTACGACCTTTCGTTATGAAAGAGTTGCGTCTACTTGCGAGACTGAATTTGTTAGTGATCTTAAACATTCTGGCCACTCTTCAACCGGGGACATAAGAGCAGTTTATAGAAGTGCTACTGAAATTTAAGCGGGATCAACTCGGCACTTGGTCAAAACCCGGATAGTTGGTAAGGCTCTCTACAGCCTTTTTTCACGAAAGATTTGCATCCACCTGCGTAGACACTTCACTTGACTCAAGCACTAAAGCCCAAGCACGGCACACTGGCTTCTTGAACAACAACAGGCGAACATGATCAAGGTACGTATGTGCAAGTAAGGCCTTGACAGCTATTTACCTGATTTACTAATCCGTGCGTACCTCAACACTGTACACTTCATGAATCGATAAGAAATTTATAATTTTTTATTATAAAACCGGATTTTCTACCAAAAGAACTGCTTGTTCGACGTTTGGAACTTATTATTTCTCTATGACTGTGTGCGTGCGTGATGTCACTCTCAGCCAGTTATGAGAATCTTGGAAATAATTAAAATATTGTTTCTTTTAAATTAAATTTTAACTAAATAAATAAAGATAAATAAACAAATGCATTTATGTATCTAAACAAGCTATATATGGACCAATATCTTAAACATAGGCCATATATCTTTTGACACCAAAAAAATGTACGTTCAAAGTCCAAGAATGAGTGAAGACACCGTACGACCTATTGGACTGAAGTCGTATAAAGGCGTTAAAGGCGAAAGGAAACAATCAGTCAGTTGTCGGTGAAATAAAAGCTTAAAGTTTAGTCAAAAGCTAGAGAGAGAAGTTGAAGGCCGCCGATGATTTTTCGTGAAAATGGAAAAAGTTCTAAAACTATAATTTTAGCTTTTGAAGCAAAAAGTTCTTGTTAGTCTATGTTTTAGTTCTTTTCAAACTCTAGCCCACCTAAGCTATGTCTTTTTTTATTGTAGCCTAAAAAGAAAAACGCTAAGGCTACTCAATGCGAACTCGTGTTTTTTTTAACCATATTCGATTCGCACGCCTGCTAGCGAATGTAATGTCGGAGAAAATAAACTCCAGCTCCTAACTGCTCGCTATGTTTTCATGCTGAGGAAGAAGGCGAAAAGCACTGCCAGTGCAAGTTAGAGGAAACTGTCCGTTTGATATGGAAAACAAACTGTAGTCGTACTTGGGCCTTATTGATGGACATGGAATTAAGCATTTGTGGTGCTGCATGGAATGCGCTGATATTCCATTATCAGTCTCTTATTTGATTAAAAGAATTCCGATTGCCATTATTTTGAAGAATACAAGAATGCAAGTCTATTCAACCATATGTTAGCACTATTATGAAAGGCGTAACTATAACTAAGATATTCTTAATAATCAATCAAAGGAACGGTTTTTATGCAATGCTATGCTATGCAATGTTTTCATTTATTTTGTGCATAGGTTATTACTGTTGCGGGATGCGGGCTTCAGTGTAGGGATGAGTTCTGATTAAAAGTTTTTATTTAATGAATGTGAAGAAAATGTCCAGCACTTTCATCTCGAATATGATTATTATCATTTTGTTTATTATATTTTTACTCCTGTTTAATTCTTAATGAGCTGAGCCAAAAAAAAAAAAAAAAAAATTTTTTTAATTATAATTTATTTTTTTTTTTTTTTTTTTTGTTAGCTTTTAGAATTTTTTTTTTTTTTTTTTTTTTTTTTTAAA